TATATATTGTTTGGAATATGTTGTTTACATATTTAAAATTTTACGTGAATTGCTTTTGTTTTGAAAAAGTTATATGCATTTATATTATATAAATAATATTTCAAAATTTTTTAGCACCATACTGTATATTATTATAATGGTTCATTTACGTAAGTTAACTGCTACTTTCACCTATATTAAATCTGGTAACATAGTATGCATTCTGAAAGTGAACCTATATTTTTTGAGGGAACCTATTTAGGGGTAAAATTTCTATTACTAGTTTTAAATTACCTAACCTACTGGTTCAGCTTATATTCGAAAAGATGTGTTAATAGAACCAGTTTGAGATATCCTGAGTTTTCTTTATTTAATTAAACTAGAACCAATTACAGAAAAGAAAGTTGTTGATTGAAATTAGTTAGAATAGAATACAACTTAGTCTATATATCCAAACATGTCATATTTTTGCTTGTCAATAATTATTGTAATACTAGCTGAACAATCATTACATTACTATGTCTCTTAGGAAGATTACAATTTCAATACCTGTTAGATTAATATATGAATTAACTTCTTATGAAAAACAGTACATTTCAGGTTATGGCACCAGATATCATATTAATACTATTCAACCACCTCCACATGGAGTTGAATTGGTATCTTGTAATCTGACCTGTGAAGTACTAACTACTGATTATAGATTCACAGGTCTCTTTAAGCTTAGTTATATTTTAATTAAGTAATAATGCTATATATATAATTTTTTTTTATTTTTTATAATAAGTTATAATTTACTTTAAACCATCTATTTTTTTAAAAAATAATATAATTTACTTATATAAATTCATAGTAAATTTAAGCATTAAATTAATATCAAAATAATATAAAAATAATATTATTAGAGGCTTTACAATTTAATATAATATATATATATATATTTTAATAAATAATTAATATTAAAACATTAATATATTATAAATAAAAATTTTTTGAGAATTTTACCTTTTTTCACATTATTATTTTTTACTTTCTATTCTTACATTTTTTACATTTTATAAATTTTCTTTTTATTTTTTTTTTTTGTCAAAACTTGATTTTTTTCTTCTTCTAGACCTCTTTCTCCTTTAAAATTATTACATTTCAAAATAATTTCTCTGGCAGTTGACACCTTTTATTTAAAAATATTTTTAAAAAGCATTAATCTTTCATAAGACATAAACTTTGACAATTTTTTTTCATTTGTGATTTTTTAAAAAAGAATAAATGACTTATTCTTTCAATAAATTAATATAACAATTATTATCAAATTTAACATTGTTTACTTATTGCTAGCTAGATTAGATACACTTAAGAAATTTTTATATAACTATTATCATTTGAATCTTCAAGAAGTTGCATCTTGCAATATCTAAAAAAATGGTAATCAATATAGGTGTAAAATCTTTACATGTGCAATACTAATAATTAAAAGCATCTAGTAGAGTGACCAGGGATTCTATTTATTCTTGCAAACAAAGCTAATGACAACAATGAAAGTTTCTTGCTCACTCCTCAACAATATAGGTCTTTATGCAAAGCAGATATCAACATTTATAAGAAATTTAAGAAGATTATTATGCCTCTCTTATAATTTACTTTGTATTGCCTTAGCATGCGTCACCACATTGGTTATTCTGTATAAAAGCCGGTAGCATTTATTCAATAAAGTAACAACAAACTCGGTAAATAAAATCGCCTCTAAACTTTATTTTCGATTAATACGGTGACGCAAATATTGCTATTGCTAGCAAATGACTTATCGATCACCCGTTACAATGAAAAGTAATTTATATTTATTCAATACAATTAGCTAACACTCGTCATGACATATCGTTAGTACTAATAACGATTATTGGTGCCATAAGTATTTGATGTATAGGGAAACAACAAATTTCTTTCACCGATACCATTACCTCCAAATATTTCCAAATTTTTAACTAAGTTGAAACAGATCATTGCAATCTGTGTTGCTGATAAAACAATGCAAGCAGTGGAGTGTCTTTTCTCATAATGATCAACATGTTCAACCCCAATTCCTAGGAGTAAACTAAAAATTTAAAATAAGAAACAGTTGTGAGATTTTTTTTTTTTTTTGTTTTGAAGAATAGATATTTTAAAGCTAATCTAAAGCGTACCAAGCGATAGTAGCACTAAATATTAGATCTCGCCTTCCATAGCTGAATATTCCGTTAAAGCACCAAGCAAAACCGATTAAAGCCATAATCCAAACTAATACAACGGCGGTCCACTCAGTTTGATAAATAAAATCGACGGATCCTTTTTGAAATAGAATAAACCAAGAGTATGCCGAAAGCATCGAAAACGGAACATGAGTGAACAAAGTAACATGTTTTGGTGTAAGGTCATTATTTGGCGTATAATTGAGCATTAACCGATGATGAATCATTGACGTAGAGATTAAAAGCAAAATAATAAAGATTTTCGAATAGATAATATAACCGGTAGCCTAATTTAAATAATCGCGAGGTATTGATAATATCGCATTAATCACTTTTTCATCAAAAATGGACTTATAGTACAGCTTACCCAAAAGAGCATCCACGCAATCATTATCAAGTTGTTATTAACAAACAAGTGACCAATCACGTTTTCAACAATATTGTGTACGAAACGAGTATTATGACAAAATTGAACGTAAAAAACATAGCCAAATTGAAAAATGTATAGAACGAGCCAAAAAACAACTACAAAATTTGTTGAAAGGGTCAAATAACTATAACCTTGGTTGCTAGGGTGTTCTGCCGAGTATGCCGCAATATATACATGGGCAGAGAAAGCTAGTATAATCGTGATTATATTTAGAACTCGAATTATTTGAAGTTTTCTTGATGGTCTGAGATCTGCTAGGGAAGGAGCAGTAAGAATAGGCATTGTCGTAGTTCTGGTTGAAAAAAAGAAATACATAGGGCTAACTTTGTTGTGGGGAGGAAAAAACCTTTCCTTAAATATAGATTTATGATTTAAAATTCCGAAGTTAAGCACCCTTCTTAAATAACTTTGAATCTTTGGAAATTCGCTTAATTTTTGATAATGGTCATGCTATTTAAGGAATCAATGGTCTTATTACGAGTCTATACATTTTTAATCACGTGAACAAATACCGCCTAATAAACCGGCGTGTTAAATTTTAAGCCTAAAAAACATCATTAATTGAAAAATAAAAATAAGGAAAACAAAATAAATATACTTATAATTTCTTTAATTCTTTTAGATTATTTGAAATTACATATATAGTTGTAATAAAAAAAATCAAATAATGACAATTTAATTTTAACAATTCTATTAGGGGAGTGTCATATATTACGTAATTATTGAAGGGGGGGGGGTTTTCAAATATCTCACCTCTCACGTGATTATAGGCAATGATCGACGCACATGTAATGCGTAACTTTA